AAAAAGGGTGTCTAGTGGCAGAAGGGGTGAGGAGAAGCCCGCGGGACTGTACCTTTGTAGAGCAGGTGGGAGAGGACAGGGGTCTGGAGAAAGGAGGGAAGCCCCTGCCCCGGCCCCGCCCCTGCACCTGCCAGCAGACTGCACTGCAGTCAAGCCCAAACCCCTTAAGTCTCTGTACCTACAATCACCTTGTGCCAGCTTGGGGCAAGGGAGGGGGGCAAGAGTTTGGGGGTGGAAGATGCATTTCCCAGCTCCCTGGAGGGCGTATCCCCTGGTTTATGCCCCTCTCCTTTATTCTACCACCCTCCACTCAGTAAACTCAGGGGCTGGAGTTTGGGGGGGCAGGAAGCAACCAAGCAACCTGTAAGTGACCCGGCCAGACCTTCTCTAGGGCTCAATGCAGACAGAATCCTTCCAAGGCAGGATCCGAGGGGACATGGAAGGTGATACTGGGAAATCCCGCAGGCATCATGTATGAATGAGGAGACTGGAGTTTGCTTTGTTATTTCTCTGGCCTCTTTGGCTCCCTAGACAGGAACTGCCCATGCACATGGTCACCTAATGCTTAGGGTCTGTCCTCTATGGAGACAACTAACCCCTCCCACCCTGGCTCTGGCTCTGGAAACTTCTTTGCAGACACCAGAGAAGAGCTAAAGATGTTCAGGGTTGGCTAACTTTACCTCACGGTTTTTCTGTCTTTCTGAGAGCCTACCCAGGGGATCAGGACTCAGCTAGAGCCCCCCCCCCCACTGGGAGACACAACACCCAGTCCTTTTTGGAGTGTCTGTGCACCCTCCCCTTGCGGGTGGGTGGTTTACTGTGAATGGGGTGGGGTGGGGGGACAGGCAAACCTTTGTTCCTGCACTCTCTGGGAAGGATGCCCCCTGCCCAGCCCTACCCCCATTCACCTACAACAGCAAGGGTCTGGCATCGGGATGATTTGTTCTTTGGCCACTTGTGAGGTCGAAGTGTGGACTGGATGTAGCTGAGGCCCACAGTAACATCTACCCTAAACTTTAGGGCTTTTGGGTCGTCTCAAAGTTCAAGCTTCTTAGAAGCAACAAAGACCCTCTAAAGACCTCCATCCCTCTGCCCTCCCCTAACTTCACTTTTCTCTCCTTACAAGCTCTCGGGTCCCCTTTCTTTCTATGGTTTGAGTTAGGGATGAGTTGAAATCATTGTGCTCCCATTTCTTGATAACTGCCTGCTTTGAGCTTTTGTTCTCTTAAAGTAGGATTGCACACTGAAAGAGGGGCTGAAGATGAACAGTTTGACCTCTTTGGACAGTTCAGGGAATGGACAGGAGCAGCCCCCGGTCACCAACTCACCGACGCCGAGGCTATTCACCGGCTCCCCTCCCCCTCCTCCCAAAGTTGCAGCCCCCCCCCTTCATCTGGACAATCTTTTAGACCACACAAGTGCCTCTTGAATTGATTTAAGTTAAAAGAGTGCTAGAAGAGTCCAGCTAAGGCTATTTGGCATTGGACATGTCTTTGGAAATCTGGGTGCAAATGGAAATTGTTTTCTTTCAGCAAAACTGAGCAAAATGCTGAACAAACAGGACTCTGTAGCTGGGTGTGATTGATTGTTTTGAGATCACACTACATTGTTCTAGGAGGGTCCTTTTATTTTAAAAAATGTTCTTCATAGAGGGAAAACATTCCCCAAGTGTTCCATCATCAAGAGAGATGCATCTCTTGAAACCTACAATACACACAATAGGATTCTAAGAATTCCAAGATGATACAGAGAGTGATTTGTTTTGCTTCTGTATTTTGCACCTAATTTAACAGACACCGCTGTGCACAATCAGAGCTACTCTTTAGACAGTAAGTCTAGAAATGCCAGGTCATTCTGATATTTTCATAGACTGATAATGTACACAACCTTAACATTCTTAGCAGCAAAAAGTAGTCCAAAGGAATACTACTTCCTTTTGAAAGAAATAAACTTTCAAAATCGGACGTGTGCAATGTATTCTCCTACTATTTGCCATTGCTAAACATCTCCCTAGGAAATAGTTAAATATACACTAACACCTTAAAGATAGTACAGACAGATTTTGATGTCAGGAAATCTTGGCACACAAGCACCCTTTCAGTATAGCGTAAGCACATCTTATGAGGATATAAAAACTGGGAAGTCAGACACCCAAGAACAGTCACACATCACTAAGACACTAAGTGTGTTTATTAGCGCTGAGCGCTGGCCCTAGGCTAATGCTGAAGGTGTTTCTGTGTACGTGAGCTTCCGTAGGATTACCAGGCTTTTCTTCACTCCTTTGCTGAGTTCTGTTCTTCCACCAAAGTAGATTTTATAATCACATCAACCCAGCATTTCCAAGCCAGACCAAGGCATTAACACCACCTGTCCAAGGAGGTCTGGTTCTACACAGCCTGTCACATTAGCCTCCTGACGTGTCTTTCTTTGCAAGCAGCTCCTGCAGGGAAATGTAGACATCTCGAGACTGACACTTCCTCAGAACCCGGCTTTCTCATTCTCTGTTGTAGTCAACTTAACGAACAAAACTCCAAACTCCAGCACCCACTCCTACAAGTTCCTTCAGCTTTACCCAGGCTCCAAGACTCCCCTTTTGAAGGAAACAAAGACTTTTGACTAGTTTGCTACCAGTATTGCCTAGAAACAGCGCTAACCGTCCCATAAAGCCCAGGCAAGCACTGGCCATCCTACCTCTTCAGTATCTTTTGCTTGATCGAACTGTTGTGCCAAGTTCTGACTTTGTGCAGATCCCTATGCACAGATAGAGACCCCCAAAAGTGTGTGGGGGGGATGGGATCAGGTGCTCCAGGTCTCTCTGTTTATGCACTTCTAAGATGTGACCACGCTGTTCTCGCCACGCTGTTCTCGAAGGATGCAGAGAACCAGGGAGAAAACCCTTCCAATTTAGGAAATTCGTTTTTAAAAGGCGAGGGGATGCATTGCAAAAATATCAAAGAGCAAAGTGTAAATTTCCAATCTTTTCAGGAAGGAATCTCGAGGTGGGAGAGTTGCATTCCTTCCTAGCCAGTTGGAGTTTTCACTTATTTTGTGCCTTCACTTACTTTGTGTGCACTGCCCGCCTGCAGAAAACATGCAATAAGTTACCAACCAACTACTTTTGCCGTTGACTTCTCCGGAATACAGTTTGTCTCTCAAGCCTACAAATCCAATGAGACAGAGCCCCGCGGCCACCTCTCCTCCTCTTTCTAACTTCTCCTAACACACCAACTGCGCTTTGTTGGAACCTACTTTGTGAAAAAAAGATCTCAAGGTTCCCTTCTACAGTCTACCGGAGTCCACCTCCTGTCCCGCTCGAGTTGGCGAGGTCTAACCGTCCTCAGGGCACGCGGCTGGGCGCTCCGGTTTTGCCTCTAAAAAGTCAGCCACATTGGCGAGCGAGGGGGTGTTGGTGGGGGACGACAAGCAACAGAGAACAAGTTTCCCCCGGAGCCCAGGAACCCTTCAGCTCCTTTTTTTTTTTTTCCCATTGAAAAGCCAGGAGAATCGGGAGGAGGGCCCGTGTCCCTACAACGCCCCCCAGAGCGGAGCAGGGGTCACGGAAATGTCAGTGCAGCCCATTCGCTCTCTCGAGCTGCAAGTCCGGGCTCCCCACCCGCCCCCGCCCCCAGCCCTTCGCTGTCCCCCACGCAGGTGGGCTCTCTGCAGTCCTGTCCAGCATAGATGGGGTTAGCTCGGAGGAAAAATAAACCGTCAGCGCCGGGCGCCTCGGTTTCTCACCGAGACAGGTGCGACTAGGGATTCCCAGGCAGCTCCACACGAGAGCGCTTTCTTTCTCACGGCGGCTAAACGCCCCTCAGCTGCGCCCCACTCGAGTTCCCCCCAGGAGACGCCTCCCGCGGCCGCCTCTCTGCAACCCAAACACTCTCGCACGCCGTGTCCCCGCTCGCCACCCGCGCCACGTTCCTGCTCTGACAAAATCAGGGTGTTTTTAAGGACCTTTGATACAGGTCCTAAGAGGCTTTGCCAAGAGGCGCCCGGCCCCACCGGAGGGCTAGCCGCTGTCCCCGGGATTCTGACCCCCATTAACTAATTCCTCGGGTCCTCACGCCCGGAAGCTACCAGGCCGGGCAGCGGCGGGCGCAGTGCGTGCGCGCGCGCCGGGACGGGGGTGGGCTGCGGCCGCCAGGACGCGGGCGGGGGCGGCCGCCAGAGTCTCCCCACCCGCCCCAGGCCCCGGCCCCTAATGAGACGCTGAAAGGCAGCGGGCTCCGGTGCGCGTGGCTCGCAGGCCTCCCGGAGTCCGGGCGCCCTGATTGGCCAGCTGCGCCTCGCGACCTCCATTCATTAATAAATTAGCGGCACGCTCCAGCCGAGCGCGAGCCACCAATCACAAAGGGCAGCGGCGGCGACAACTACCGCAGCTTGAGCCGCGGCCGCGCCGCGGCTTCTGCAGCTCCGACCTCAGCCTGGAGCTCCAACAGGAGCTTTAGAACCATTTTATGCTGATTAGATAAAGGGGGAAAAAGAGAGGCGGGGG